CTCTCTAAACTACACATTGAAGCCTTCAACGTATATACACTATGTCAAATCAGTCAGCAGGCCTCCATGGCTAAAATCTTAGAAAAATAATGCCAAAAATGCTATCTAGCCAAATGGACGAGCAAATTTTCCGGCAAAATCTAAGACCTGTTATCTTATTCTGGATTGGTTTGTTCAATAAATTACAGTCTCGCCGCAGATCAATTCCTATCTATGAAATTGCAATGTGGTCACTAGTCTAGATGACTCAATATTACGTGCACTATGTTGAGGTTAAACGTTCGCGCGCAAGATTGAATGTCCTGGGTTCGAATCCCGCGAGCGGGATCGTGGATGTGCACCGCTGAGGAGTCCCACAATAGAACGAAACAGCCATCCAGCGCTTCCAGATTTCCAACGGTGGTCTAACATCAATCTCAACCAAAAAATATCCGGATAGTCTGTTCATGATATACCTATGCTAAAAAGAAAATAACCAATTCCATCTCTTATGTATAACAGTAAAAGTAATATTCACTGTTGTAAACAAACTTGTCTATGTTTACATTAATAGATAAATAGACAGGTAGACATTAATAAATGAAGTTGAATATGACATTGATGTGTTTACTTGTTCAATTAGCTACTTGGTATATGAACGTGAATGAGAGACAATCAAATAAAATCAAGGATAAATGACTAACTTTATGATTTATGAATATACAATACTTTCATCTTATTTAGGACTCATCAGTTGAATAAACTTGGTAAACAAGTGTTGATGACCCCTACATATGGTCAATTTATAGAACATAAATTGTTATTCATCATTTTTACTGATTAACAACATACCCATTTTGTTATACCCCGATGAGAATAAGGGATGATAACTGTTGGGATCTATTTCTGGACCAATGCAATAGGTATATTTTTATTGTATCATTGTTAAATAACTACATCATCTGCATATTTATATTCCTCTTATTATAAGCTTTATTTTGACCTATGTACCATTATTATACAATTTACTATTCTTGAGTTATACCCACTCTATCAATTACTATCTCCCACAATCACAGTCACTTTTGGCTAGATCTTGTTTCCTATTCCATTGTACAATGTTGTTTGGTTGGTTAGTATATAAACCGAGTATGTTTGAAATATATGGTTCATATTGCAGAGGTTGAGATTGGTGTTCTGGATTCAACGGGCAGACAGGGCTATGCAGAAAGCAAGACCGGTTAAAACTCTAGATTGGTCGTACGGGTTTTATGTGTCATTGGATCGGTCAATAATTCACTATTCTCTAACTGGCGGTATCATTACGTTATACATTAATAGGACATAGGGCACAAGTTATAACATTATTACATAAGCTATTTGCAGTCAGTATCTTAGTGAAAGTCGTATCATTTTTGGAAGTGAACTGTACTCGGATACAGGTTTTGGTATGAACATCAGCAATGCGATGTTGATGAATACGATTGATGAATGCTGACTAAAGCGAAACACTCTTCTTATATTCTATTACATGATAGAGTTCATTCATTCTATTACAAAGCAAACTCACTGGTATGTATTGCATAATTTATTTCCGAATTGATGCATGTAATCCATTACAAACTTTAGAACATGTAATACAGAACAAGTTATAAATAACTACTTAATTATAATACACTTTGTTAAGTTCCTTACTTGATTAACTCAGAATATGGTTTACAACTACGATACTCGAACGTTGAAACTTCATCGTCACAAATCAGAAGACAGAACTGAAGCTGATGAAGTGTTTATTTGGTAAGAATGGAAATGTACAGAAAATCACGGGTATTTATAAATATTAGCATTTGTTAAATCAACATTATAATTCAGCCAAACCGCAAAGAGACAAATTATGCTACTGTCCAATAGCAACATGTCACGTTAATATTCTAGATGGCTTCATCATGTTCAGATTGGATGGAAACTCTTCGGCTCCTCTGGAGGCTCTGTTGTAGTTCGAGGAAGCCGACTCAACACACTTCATAGACGTCATGTTCAACTCAATAAATATATGATTTCTTTGGAGCATAGATAAATGATCATTGCAGTTGTTTCACTGTAAATCACACAGAACTATCATTTTACTTCAAGTTGATTAATATTGATTGTTTGAATTGTTCCATTAATATTTAGAACTGTTATCATTCAATCACTTTTATCGTATGTGCATCCTGTTGGAGCATTTCGTGTACCTAAATCAATGGTTGCTCTAGCTGTCAGAAGGAGCATTAGCCTAGTGACTTCCGAAGGAACTTGGCTTTCACTATAAGGCGTTATAACTCTTCTAAATGCAGACATTCTAACTACCAGGACAGAGTTTATGTGATTTGAATTATTTTTTCTGGTTAGCGTTTTTATTAGCGAGTTAGTTTTCTACTGGATGGTGTAGCTAATCCCAAGTTCAACCTTACTCCTTTATCCAGGTTTGGGACCGGCAGTAGCCCCAGATCGAGTCCAGACGGATTGCTCCAATATTATTACTAAGTCATAGGTATTTTCAAACAGAAATAAATGGTGGTCAACAGTAGAATCCAAGATATGTCTTTTGATTTTGAATTGACCGGTTCGATTTATGTATATTCCACAGATGATATTCAAACCGGAACTCGAACCCAATAGCGTTCACTTCAATAATATGTCTACACAGTCACCGATTGAGCAATGGGATGAAGCTTAATTCATTATTGTATTGATTATTTAAATCTTCCCATAAATGTTGAAGCATGTAGTTGATTGATCTTTCTTATTCATCATGTACTCATAAGTTTTTAGAGCTCAAATTCAAGAATAATGAACAGTAATTACCCTAGAAACTAATTTCACACTGAAAAATAACCGCATTTAAAAGCAAATAAATTTAGTAATAGGGTACTGTGGAGGTCATACTTATTTACGACTATTACTCCCGATGGAGCATAGGACGCCGACCAGCATTCTCCAAACCACTCTGTCATGGGCCTTCCTTTCCAGTTCAATCCAATTTTTGTTCATTCTTCTCATATCTGTCCCTATTTCTCGGCGTAATCTGTTCTTTGGTATTCCTGATCTCTTTTGGCATTGAGGATTTCATGTGAGAGCTTGTCTTGTGACGCAGTTGGGTGCTTTCCTCAATGTGTGTCCTATCCACTTCCAGCGCTTCTTTCTGATTTATTCCTCCGGTGGGATCTGGTTTGTTCTCTCCCGTAGTTGATTGTTGCTGATGGTGTCTGGTCAACAGATCCGAAGTATTGTATGTAGACAGCTAATAATAAACACTCTAAAAATTTAAAGTGGGAATCATAGAATGATCAAATCTCAAACTAATCCTAACTAGACAACCATTGAATACCTGAATGCATTGGATAGTCGTTTCTATCGATTATGGGATCACTCTCACTATGAAAAAATTGAAAAATATTTATCACTGGAATATGATTTACTATTGGAATATTATCAATTTTACTGACAATTATAGTAATATTAATAGTTGAATTCATGAGTCAGTTAAAGCTAGATTACCACGGTAGCCGTTTTGTCCTAGTATGAGACTCCTCAGTAATACACATCTAGTGGTCTAGAGATTAAACGTTCGCGCAAGAGATCGATAGGTCCTGGGTTCGAACCCTGCAAGCGGTGTTAAGTAAGTAAAAAAAAAAAACAATTTGATGTCGATGCATAAATATATTGTGAAAAATCGGTCGACAATTTTGATAGGATATATTCCTGCTAAGGTTTCATGAGAATCTGAAGTCATATTATCTAACAATAATTTATAGGTGATGACATATATAATATGTGAACACTTAAAAAACAATCTTAGTATGTGAGAAATTGACTACCCGCTTATGAGATCGTGGATGTATACTATTGAGAAAGCTTCATTACAAAGATAAAATGTCCATTCAAACTTTCCAGGTTTCAATGATCACATAACTGATATCCTCAAAATTTAGGATCAACATAAATCATTCAATCATGAACGGATGTCAAATGAAGTTCCATTGAAAAATTAGACATTAACCCTAGAAAGTATTGTTCAGTCTACTTTCAGAACCACTAAACATTTTAATAGTTGAATTCATTAGTTGATTAAAGCTGGATGGCTGTTTCATTGTAGTATGGAACTCCTCAAAAGTGAGCATCAATAATCCCTCACATAGGACTGAAACGCAGAACTTTCGGTTTCTCGTTTGAACACTTAACCTCTAGACTAGTGAGCCGGCCAGCGTCTAACTATATCAATGTCTAATTCTAATCAATCCACGAAAATGCGACACTGTTCACCACTGCTAACTAGTGACTGGCTTCAAGAGGTATTTTCTGGAGTTCTAGTGAGAAACCGTTACCAGTGGAGTTTAACCAGGTCTGTTGTGAGGCTGTTATTCACTGAAGACAATGGTGAACGATGGCATAATTACGTGGATTGGTTGGTGTTAGAGACTGTTAGATGACGGCTCAGTGGTGTAGAAGTAAGACGAGAGGTTGGAGGTCTTGTGAATGCGTACTACTAAAGATCCCCATACTAGGACGAAACAGCCATCCACTGCTTCCAGGTTTTCCCTTATGATCTAGCTTTGATCAACCCATGAATTCAACTATTAACATTACTACAATCAACACAAAACCCCTTTCCATGAATAACTATTCATTGATCATAACTTTTATCTGATTTATTCAAACAAACTTAATTATCCCTTTCAACTATTCTATCACATTTTCTTCTATTTATATTTATACTCATTAAGAAAACATACTTCTCTGTCTACACTATACATATTCGACAACAACAACAACAACCAAAAGAAATGTTTTTCCATATTACGTATACATCTATTCCAAAAATACAATTTCATTGCTTTGTCTTCGTTTTTGAACATTTTCAACAGTACTTCTAAATGAATTGTCGTCTGTATATGTTTCTAAGCATATATATATATATATATATATATATATATATATATATATATATATATATGTCTGTTTTTGTGTGCGTGTGTATATGCATGTGTGCGCATGCGTGCGTACGTGTGAAGTGGTATACGACATAGAATGTGATATGACATGCAGTATAAGTACATTGTTCTTTTCATTAACCTTTATAACAGTATTTGATTTATCATTTGTTATAAATGGTAACCGATCGATGTTAAGACAGATTTAACATTTTATAGATATTATAGACTTTTTTTTAGTTTTTTGTACATGGTGTATATATATACAACTGGACATGTCTACTACTACTACTACTACTACTACTACTACTACTACTACTACTACTACTACTACTACTACTACTACTACTACTACTACTACTACTACTACTACTACTACTACTACTACTACTACTACTACTACTACTACTACTACTACTACTACTACTACTACTACTACTACTACTACTACTACTACTACTACTACTACTACTACTACTACTACTACTACTACTACTACTACTACTACTACTACTACTACTACTACTACTACTACTACTACTACTACTACTACTACTACTACTACTACTACTACTACTACTACTACTACTACTACTACTACTACTACTACTACTACTACTACTACTACTACTACTACTACTACTACTACTACTACTACTACTACTACTACTACTACTACTACTACTACTACTACTACTACTACTACTACTACTACTACTACTACTACTACTACTACTACTACTACTACTACTACTACTACTACTACTACTACTACTACTACTACTACTACTACTACTACTACTACTACTACTACTACTACTACTACTACTACTACTACTACTACTACTACTACTACTACTACTACTACTACTACTACTACTACTACTACTACTACTACTACTACTACTACTACTACTACTACTACTACTACTACTACTACTACTACTACTACTACTACTACTACTACTACTACTACTACTACTACTACTACTACTACTACTACTACTACTACTACTACTACTACTACTACTACTACTACTACTACTACTACTACTACTACTACTACTACTACTACTACTACTACTACTACTACTACTACTACTACTACTACTACTACTACTACTACTACTACTACTACCACTACTACTACTACTACTACTACTACTACTACTACTACTACTACTACTACTACTACTACTACTACTACTACTACTACTACTACTACTACTACTACTACTACTACTACTACTACTACTACTACTACTACTACTACTACTACTACTACTACTACTACTACTACTACTACTACTACTACTACTACTACTACTACTACTACTACTACTACTACTACTACTACTACTACTACTACTACTACTACTACTACTACTACTACTACTACTACTACTACTACTACTACTACTACTACTACTACTACTACTACTACTACTACTACTACTACTACTACTACTACTACTACTACTACTACTACTACTACTACTACTACTACTACTACTACTACTACTACTACTACTACTACTACTACTACTACTACTACTACTACTACTACTACTACTACTACTACTACTACTACTACTACTACTACTACTACTACTACTACTACTACTACTACTACTACTACTACTACTACTACTACTACTACTACTACTACTACTACTACTACTACTACTACTACTACTACTACTACTACTACTACTACTACTACTACTACTACTACTACTACTACTACTACTACTACTACTACTACTACTACTACTACTACTAACTACTACTACTACTACTACTACTACTACTACTACTACTACTACTACTACTACTACTACTACTACTACTACTACTACTACTACTACTACTACTACTACTACTACTACTACTACTACTACTACTACTACTACTACTACTACTACTACTACTACTACTACTACTACTACTACTACTACTACTACTACTACTACTACTACTACTACTACTACTACTACTACTACTACTACTACTACTACTACTACTACTACTACTACTACTACTACTACTACTACTACTACTACTACTACTACTACTACTACTACTACTACTACTACTACTACTACTACTACTACTACTACTACTACCTACTACTACTACTACTACTACTACTACTACTACTACTACTACTACTACTACTACTACTACTACTACTACTACTACTACTACTACTACTACTACTACTACTACTACTACTACTACTACTACTACTACTACTACTACTACTACTACTACTACTACTACTACTACACCTACAAGTATTACTACTACGACTACCCCTACGACTAATACCACTACTTCTACTACTGTAGTAAACAGAATACAGGTGGGGACAATCGTACGTATTTGACAAAAATTACGGAACTGATTATTAAAATCTAACAACCATACAGTAGATCGTTAATCTGCAAAATACCAATCCATCATATCAAATTGGACTGTTCCTGTTGCAAACATCAATCGATTGTCTGACATTTCATTGTTCATGAGTTTCCATACTAATTCCATTGTATTCCCGCTCTTCTTTTCTTGATCTTCCCCCATCTTCTGCAGCCAGATATTACGTTCCTAACTCGAGTTATATACTACTTATATCAATATAAATAGCGCGCACCACACTCGTCCCCTCTTTAAAGCAGTCGTCCTTGCGGTGGTTCATGCTCGCCGTGTAACATTCTTCCTTCTGCAGTCTGTGCTACACCCTCCGTCATAATGTCGAGTCTGCTGCGCGCTGGCTTCCATAGCTCCGTCAACCAGTCGGGGAACCAACATCCGACCTTCACCCGGCACCTGTGACATTTGACACCCGTGCTCAACCGGCCTGCTGAGCCATCTACATCCAATGTCCGCCCAGCAGCCGAACGTCCAACCGCTCCTCTTCGTCGACGGCACTCTCTACAGCCAACGCCGCCCCGCCAGAACACTCCACCAGACGCCATCTCTCCGCACCAGACTGCTCCAACCTGCACCTCAGCTCCAGGCCCGCAACGGCATCCGCAGAACAGCACCCTCAACCTCTCCTGTTTGGCAGCAACACCAAATGTAGTAAACAGAACACAAATGGGGACAATCGGATGTATTTGACAACAAATTACTAGTAGTAGTAGTTGTAGTAGTAGTAGTACTGCTACACCTACGACTACTACAATTACTACTACTAACAGTCACTAGTTAGTAATATAATGCGTATCATTCTCTTATACAAATTCAAGGGTAGTTAATCTTTGAAATACAAGAATAATTTTCAATAAATACTGTTTCATCTTAATTATAATTAAAGAAAACTTGTTGAAACTTAACATTATTACCATTTTATAAAATGGGCGTCAACATAATACCTACATTTTGTTTAATGATACATCCAAATGAAATGTATAGTGAATATACAGTCATATCAATAATATGAAATTTTCATTAAAGATTAGATTATAGATAGTATCAATGGTTTTAACATTAATCTAATTTGTCATGGATAGTATAGTGAGTCCTGGAGTGAATATCAACACTAGAATGTAAGTAGATCTAATTGATGTGTCCCAAATAGGACGAAACGCGAGTTGTTAATTCCACTACTAGCTACCATCTATCCAACCATCCATCCATCCATCCATTCATCCATTCATTCATCTTTGTTTATAAGTGATTAACTATTTATTTCTCGACTCGTTCGTTCCACTAAATAATCCTACTAATCCCTATGTCAAACTCATTATTCTTTTTCTAGTGATGAGTTTAGCAATGATAATCGGGCGAGACTATAATTTATGAACGAACTAATCAGAAGTAAAATGACAGGTTTCAGATTTTGGCACGAAATTCATTCATCCATCTGATTAAATAGAGTTTTGGCATTATAGCTGATGTCAGTTCGTGATGAAAACCTTGAATCTAATTCTTAACCTTAACCATCAACTCATACTGGTTTATACTCCTCATTCGGTCTTAGTTGCTAGGTGAAGACTCTCAAGGTCAGTTTAGCGTCGCCCATAGGTCAGTCGTAAATTAGTCTTACCGATAAGAGAATTTTAGTGATCCGGGATCTGACTCCAATTAGATCGTATGAATGTATATCTTTACTGACTCAATCCGCTTTACTGTATAACGGAATTAAATAAGTCAAATACGAAAATGTATGCTTGAATATGTATATTTTATACCGTCATTGATCTGGACAAACAATCAGAAGAATGAAGCGAATAGAAGAGAGCGAAACGAATTGTTGCACGATGGAGAATCCGTGTGAGCTAAATCCATTTAACCAAGAGTCAATCAATATTTATAGCCAGATAATGATAAGTTAAAACATGTGATGATTAGGATAAGATGTGTACACACATACACACCAATATAGGAACAGTCGATGTTGTCAAGTGAATAATTAACAAAATCAAAACGTAACTCAAGGGGAATGGATAAATTAGCCTATCCAGAAGTTACAATAAGGTTTATGAGCTTAACATAGTAACTGACACTACAGTATGTTTGAAATGTTAAAACAATCCAAATTGAATGTTGATGGACACTTAATTTAAACTAATTCTAAAACCGATGGATATTCATTATGTTCACTGATTTCAAGCAACCACAGGTTGTATCTCTTCATTTCTCTAGCGATTTGGAAGACTTTCCTGGTTTCCCATATTGTACGAGCATTCAATGTACCGAAATTAATGAGTACTCTGTTTGTCAGAAGGGAAATCAGCCTCGTGACTTCCGAAGGAACTTGGCTTTCACCATGAGGTGTCATAACTCTTCTAAAAGAAGACATTCTAACTACCAGGACAGAGTTTATATGATTTAAATTATTTTCTGTGGTTGGCGTTTTTTAGCGAGCTAGTGTTTCATGAGATGCGGTCTCTAACCCCATGCCCAGTCGGCAGTAGCTCAAGATGGGCTTCAGGAGGCTCCCAGATTGGCAAAGCAAGAGCAGCATAATTACAGCTGAAGAACATCTGGGACCAACACTAAGGTCAGAATTTTCAATACAAATGTAAGACAGTACTACTGTATGGGGCGGAAACTTAGAGAACTATGAAAGCAATCATCCAGAAGAAACAAATGTTTATTTACAGTTGTCTACCCAAAATACTTCGGATCTATTGGCTACACACTATCATCAACGACGTATTGTGAGAGAGAATAAACCAGATTCCAGTGGGGGAAGAAATCAGGAAGAAGTGCTGGAAAGGGACAGGGCACACATTGAATAAAGCACCAAACTTCGTCACAAGGCAAGCTCTCACATGGAATCCTCAAGGCTGAAGGAGAAAAGGGGTACAAACAAACACATTACGCCGAGGGATGTAAACAGACATGAGAAGAATGAACAACAATTGAATAGAACAAGGAAAGTTGTCCCTGGACAGAGTGGGTTGGAGAATGATGGTCGGCGTCCTATGCTTCATTGAGAGTAACAGGAGTAAGTAAGTAAGTAAGATGGATATTGAATGAATTCATTATTTAGTATCCCATTAATTCTTATTTCGGTTATAGCACTACACGATTCAGAATAAAGTTTCAATGAAATATCATGATATCTAGTTTTACCGTTTTCTTACTTCATTTCATTATGTAATAAAAGCGATTTGAAGCACAAAAATACAATCATTTAAAGTGTAGGGTTTTGTTCTCTGAACTGAATGATTTAGTCGTGGAGCTTCTACCTGAAGTTTGTTCTGATGATGTTGTTCAGGAAAATGATGAAAGCTTCGTAACCAAATCATCCAGCTCAGAAAACAAAACTCCATCGAAATCATCCACTTGAGCTACAAATCTTCTCCATCATTTCAAAGTATATGATTATCAAGGATAGAATTGAACAATAAAAACAGATTATTAACTGTTTGAAGGAAGATTCTGTAAAAGTGAAAACATGTTTACAGTGTGATTCATTTTTAACAAATACGACATCTTGATTCACAAACAACCTCCATCCACATATGAACTAATGATTGTCATTGAATTAGACAGATGATTTAACTATCCTAATTATCTTGAAGGTATTATTCATCATATACGGTTGATATCTAACAAAATCTCGATGCCGATTCGTACCAATATGAGTAATTTATGATATAGGTGAAGTGTTCATCTATCAATTAAACGACGTGTATACTGTACAGTAGTTTACTCTGTTCATCTTAACACGTGAGAAACATGATCATTATAGAGTGAACGTATTTGTAAGTCACTAATATTCGATCATACGTGTCCTCGATTCATCACTCATGTGCTTTGACACAAACGTGTGAAAAAGGTGAGATGAGGGTTAGAATACTTGACAAAGGTGGTAAATCGGTTGATGAGATAGTAAATATATATCGAATCAGATGGTTATCACATGTGTTACATATGCTTAACGACTCACAACCTCGACGAATGATGTTGTGTTGTTTAAGAGTATATTGAAGGGAGGTTAGTAACAACTGAACCAAGACAATGTGTCAGTCCACGTACCTGTTGACGGCTGGATTGCATCATGTGAGTATGCATGTGTAGCCATCTATTTGAGTTCTATATGATTATTATAAGCAATATTTCGATACTTTGAGTGACATGATCCACAATGATTCGTAATGGTTCATTTGTATTTATTCTTTCTATTCCTTTAGTGCCTGTATTTCAAAATCTTTTTATGCGTAATCTTTTCTACTACTACTTATAATGTTACTACTCTTACTGATCTGAGATTTAAATTCATTTCGTATTGTTTGTTTAAATTTTCCCATTGATGTTTAAGACTACTACATCCTGTGCAGATTGCCTCTATACTGCCTTAAGTCCATTTCTAAAGTAGCTATTTGGACCCAGTAACTAAATGGATAATGTGATGACATTGGAAATGAACGGTACTGGGTTCGAGTCCCAGAGTGAACATCGACTCCGGGGTGCAGGTACATCCAGCTGATGAGCCCCAAATAGGACAAAACGTAGAATGTAAAGAAATGATTTAACTTTAGACAGTTGAATATTCGTTTATGGAGATTGTAGCAATTTTAATAGTTGAATTCATGAGTCGATCTAAGTTAGACCATCATGGAAAACTTGGAAGCACAAGATGGACGTTTCGTCCTCGTATAGGACTCCTCAACAGTATGCATCCATGATGTTGTACATGGGACTACTACCCAGGAACTACGATCTCTCGGACGAACATTTAACTTTAAAACCATTAAACCTGCCGTTAGACAACGGTATTGAATGTCTAACTTTATTCAATTCATGATCTTGCTCAACCTCTCATCGATTGTCTGAAGTGGATTACTGTCTAACATCCAATGATTCCAGGTATTCAATAATGTTCTACCTTAGA